TCCTTAAGAATCGATTTGCATATATAAGGGGCCCGGTATGAGAAAAATGTGGGGAGTAAAATCTATCGATGAATGACCTCGTTACGTTTTTGGTGAGCATCCTGTTCGAGCCAAAATGACTCTTAAATCCGAGAGCTTAGGTGCAAAATAATTAAATTGAAACTACAGTGTATTTTGTTAGACCATAGACTTCTTTATTAGTTAGGTGACGTTTTGCCTATATGTAGCTCCAAACATATTTACAAGCGTGATGCAACGAACTACAGCGCCATCTATTTTGATACATATGAACTAAAATTTTAAATGCACAAATGGCGTATACATAATCGCCCACCAAAGACAAACTGAGAGTTGTCCTTACAAATATTTAACTTAACAACATGACTCTGTTATCGCCCACCATGACTTAAGGTAACAAAACAAATAAAAACACTAAGATGTACAATAACTTAAAATAACAAATTTTCATTTTAACAGAACATAATGTATTATTTTTGGAGTTTACTCCTTAAGAATCGATTTGTATATATAAGGGGCCCGGTATGAGAAAAATGTGAGGAGTAAAATCTATCGATGAATGACCTCGTTACGTTTTTGGTGCGCATTCTATGTCGCGCAACTTTGACAAACAAAGATGACGGATTGACATTAATAAAAATTTTAAAATCTGAACTGAATTTAGATATTGTTTCTGATAGAGCAATGTGGACAACGAGGTATGGTACAACCATTGATGCGGTATTTTCAAGATTCGTGAACCACGTATCTACGAACGTCCATGTGTCTTATTTTAGTTACCATAAACCACTTGTCACTGTAATTAATAATGCAGACAATGTTGATTCAATTAATATTTAAAAAAATGATAATAGTCTGATAATAATAATTACATAATTTATCAACATTCCTAATGATATATTTATGCACATCTGAAATTGACTATTGTAAAAAGTTTAATGTAAAATATTTCGTCGTTTAGTTATAATAAATGTATATGAAATGAATAAATATATATTTATATATGTATATTATTTTCATTAATTTGTTAATTTACCCTTTCATACAATATCAATTTTTTTTAAGTTAAATAAACTCTTTTTGCGTCTGGTTAGACTATCGAACTTAAGGAGTAAACTCCAGTCGTGCGTCGGAGCTGACACACACAATTTTTTTCTTGATTCTGGATTGTAGTATTAAATTGTATGATTAGAAGTCAATTATGGTATTTTATAAGTTAACTAGCTGACCCAGCAAACTTCACATTAAAACAGGGTTGGTGTTGGAAAAGGGTTTGATTTAGGATTGTGTAAATTTGTTGATGCTGAATCTTAAAATAAAATAATTTGTCAAAAAATCGTGTGAAGCCAACCCTTATCATTTAGGGGTATAAAAAATAATTTACCTCGTATTATCAGATCTTCTGAATATACTTACTAAATGTCATAAGAATCGGTGAAGCCATTTCGGAGGACTTTTTTGACACGAGAATTTTACATACACCGTGACACGAGAATTGTTTAAACTTATTATGCTTATATAATGTCCTTAGATTATTATTAATTCTTAAATATGTATTATTTTAATGATATGAAATTACAATAACAATACACGGTGATTATGTAACATTTATCCTTATAAGACAGTAAGTCGACCTAACTACTTAGTCCATTTAATATTTGTAAACGATTCAATGAACACATTTGCGGAGGCCGTGTATTTAAAATGTTCGTACAATATATGAAGTGTTAATTTTGGAGATTACGGGGTTGTATTTCTATAAATTCTTTTCCCGAGCTATTCGCATACTATAGTCATCGAGACACTAATTTTATTTATTCCCTAACCAACTAGATTTATAAAAGGGAAAGAAAACAACAGATGTAGCTATAATATGATAAACAAGTTAAAAAACTGTGTCGTAAGAAAACTTTTATAAGTTTTATATTTTAACCCAGGGTTAATATTAACAACAAATGTACAACTTTAACCCTTATAAGCTTTTTTAAATAGAAGCGAAATATTATCTCTTTGGTATACGACTTTTTTTAAACTTGGCGCTCTTATAAAATAAACATGTTAATTAACCACTTGAACATCATTTGATGGGTAACTGTTATCTCGAATTCCCTTATACAGTTTGAACGAAACTGTTCACGATAAAGCGAAACAACGTTTTACGTTAGATGTCGAGCTAATAAACCGAGCAAACTGTCCAGTTCATGCTATTAAACTTCAACAAATATAAAAATAAAACCATAAAAGATCTAAACTATTGCTCTATAAATAAGAGCGACGAACGCGCGGCAGAGTCAACGCCAGTCAATACATTCTAATCAGTGATTTATTACCACTAATCTCCAGCTCAGCACAAATAAGCTATCTTGTCGTTTTAATGTTGTATCAGCTCAGGCGTGAAACTCCCGCGCACCACTAAGTGGTCCTTCCAGTTTCCACTCGAAATATTTTAATAAGGCCTCATTGCTCACGCACCCAAATAAAAACAACACACACACGCACTCAACTCCGACTCGTCCCCCTCGAACTTCGATTCCAATTTATTTATAATAGTAGCCATACTAAAAATCTACATTTTTGCTCTAAATGGTGTTAATTTATTGACCGTGGGCAGATAATATCTCTTTTTTTTCTCCCATAATGAAAGCAATTACACGAGAAATTATACGTCCAAGTCCAGTCCTGACTGTTCAATCGCAAGAGTGCTCATGCAGAAAAATGCATCTTATCTTCTAGGCTTAGGATTTAAATTCAGTTGCTTTGTGGTCGTAGGCTTTATAATGCCTACGGTGACGAAATCGCCTTATTGACTCGCTAATAAAAAGTGTAAAGTTATGCCACGCATTAATTCTGATGCTTAACTTGATAAACAAATTAAGGAAAATTAAGTTTATAGCTTAATTTGTAAGTGATGTGTTACGGCAGGCGTGTTCATAAAAAGAATTGTTTATGACATTGATAACAAAATTGCTTAGTTGTAAAACATTAAACTTTCGAATTACAGAAAGTAGATATAGTATTATTCAAATAAACAACTATGTGTCCTTTTGGGTCTACTTATTTACAGCTACGAATACTGAAATACAAAGAAAACTAAATTATACTTAAATTACTTTTCATCTAAAATTCAAATTGTATACCTACTAGCAATAAAATTTATTAGAGGCTAGATAAGATTCTAGCCTGTTATCACGTGCATGTAGTATGTAGGGAAAGTTTAAATATCAAATGACATTTGCACAGTTACCTACGTAGTCGAGAGCGTAGCATGGTCTGCATTATAGCGGGGTAATGACACACGCACCTAATGAGTGAGCAGCGATTGACCAGCCCTCACTTAAGGTATGCACTCGGAATCACAGAATGTTTTGCCAGAGGCGTTTACATTATGAAAACAAAGTAAAACAAACTTAATGCTATTTCAACGAGGGCGCAGCCGCACCCGCGACAAATGACGGTTGTAATTTTTTCGTTCGCCCATTGATGACTTAATTTAAGCTCTCCGATTTTATGAGATCGTGACCCGGGCGAATAAAATAACCCGGCTCTTTATGAGCACGTTTGATATAAACAAATCTTTTCATATCTGGTTATAATCAGAATGTAGGTGTTTTTGATGTCACCGTGTCGTGGGCTTATTAGAAGGCTTATAAAATTATTGATTTATGCATTTATAATCAGGCGTAGAATTTTATGTTTTTAGATTTATTTGTCAGTTTATCAATGAAGCATAATTATCTTTGATTTGGTATTGTGATGAGTACATTTTGATTTTTATTCCTTTTCTTTTGAGAATAATAAAAACAAAAATAAAAAATTGAGACACTGATAAGCTTTTCAAGTAGAGTTAAAATAATTGATATTTTTATTTTGAAACTGATTATTGAACCGAATTTATTTTTATGAACAAAAAAGAGCATAAAGTTGAAATAGACGGACTGACGGAAAGACAGATAGATGGATAGGGTGATAAACAAGCCACTCTCTTATTTATAATATTTGTACTTATGGACTCTAAATTTTAAATCATACCTATAATATTCATAATAATTTTAATAACGGTGAGCAGCACATTTAAAACATTCCAAACAGTCAATTTAATCGGTGAGAATGTATGGTTCTATCATTAATAGCTTCCTATATATTAAAGTTCTACTTTAAATCTGCTCTTAAATTACATGTTAAACCGCTGTTACTAATAGCTAATCATTTCCGACGACAAATTGGCGGAATTTACGAAGTTTTGAATTTGTTGGTATGCAGTAAAATTTAATTAAATATTCATTACTATATTTATGTTTATAACATGTTACATTTAAATTAATTTTGCCATAGAAGTTCTTCCATTCCAATATGGTTAGAAATATAATTATGTAGCTGCTTCAATCTAACACGTAAAAGTCTTGTGAATGTGAATCAACTTGTTTATTTCATCCCTTTACGAGGCCTAGCTACGGCCCAGTCTCAGGATGCCACAGATATAATTTTTTCACTGCCGATTGAGTTAAATCAATGACACAGCCTAAATTTAGAGTAATTTTACAGAGATAATAATCTGTTGTTTAAATCTGTTGTGTTGTTGTTTTAAAAAAAAAGGTATTTTATTATGAAGTTAATTTAAGCATTAAGCCCCAGTTTTATAAATCTTAAGAATATTTTCTTGTTACCTTTTCTTAAATGTGAATGAAGCAAAATATGTGTGTAATGGTGGCCACTCACCATGGCTTGATCAAATAGGCTCAAGGCAAAATCTTCCTGTGTGTCACATGTCCTTCCAAAACATCTCCACACATACGGACAGTTTAACTTGATTAACAATTGATTAAACCTATTTGAACAAGCGGCAGGATGGTGAGTGGCCACCATAAGGATTGTGTCTTATGGCGCTCTATTCTCTCTGGCTACGGCGCCTACCCCACCCGGGACTCGACATGAAGATATACATAGATAGATAGAAGTTTTCTTCAAAATACGTTTTGTTACAGTTCCCGTGTCTCCGTCTTCGTCTGCGGGTGGCGCTACCGGTGGCTCCACGGCTCTCTATCCCGGCGCCGCTTCCCACCCGCTGTCATCTCTGCTCTCCCAGCAGCGACTCCTCGAGCTGTCCCGATTCGGACTGAGGCATTACGACATCGCACACCACGTGCTGTCCCAGCAAGGTGCTGTTACCAAACTGCTTGGTAAGCAAGCCGTTTTTATACAATTAGTCGATCGGTGACTGCATTTTTGTACGAGAAAAATGGAACGTACTGATTGTGCAAGGCACACGTCCTACAAAAAGGAGTCAGATATAATATACAAAATCAAATCCGCCCGATTATCGGTCCTACAAAAATTCTAATGTCTGGCCCTTACTATGAGTAGTAGGTATTTATGACTTCGCTACTTAAGACAATTTTAAAGTAAAATAAATACATACTATTAAATAGACAGTTCCTTAAGAGATTTTAATTATTAAAAGAGCACACACATTTAGCAAACACAATTAAATGATAAAATATAAATATATGAAATGAAAAAACAATCGAGAACGTAATTATGGTTCTGTAATTTTATGTAAAAATATCTTTGACTAATATTCGTGTAAAACAAATATACAAAAAGGGACAGATATAAAAATGTTAATAACATGAGCGTTGGCTTTCAAATCGTAACAACGATGGTCACAATCACAAATGTTGGAAACGCTCGAAGGGAGATAATTGATTAGCGAGCGTCTACCTACTGGGTATCGTTTCCACTATAATTAGTGCATGTATTATTTATAGAGTTCGCTCGCCGGGCACTCTTCAGTGTTGTATTGATTTATACAACCACTCTTTAGAGAATTGCCCCACGGCCGTTATAGCCTGGAACTAAGTTATTTGCAATAATTACTTCGCTAGAATGCTCAATACATTGGAATATTGTGCGTCTTAAATGCATGGATTTTAAGATACTGCTTTTTATGATTAAGCAATGAAATGACTGTTATAATTAATTTATTCGTTTATTTTTGTGAGAAAAGAACCAAACTTGTGTTGCGGATTAATGACGGGCATGTTGTTTTACGACTACTCTCGCGAGCGCGGCTGTAAAAGATTCAATAAAATCAAGAGTACTCTTCACTCTTATAAGTGAGTGAGATTAACATGATAATAAATTACTTTAAAGCACACATTGACAACTCGGTAATTTGTCGAAAGCGACGCTACACTGGCTTGTGCTCACAGGCTGTGCTTAACTCCGGACTAATAACACAGTCAGGGCAAAAATCTCAATTGCTATTAATCAAAGATAAGAGTATCGGTGAAGCTTGCCGCGATGAAAGCGGCTATTGACGAAAGCTTAGATCATAATCGATTCATAAAAGTTGCAGCGTGTTAATTATAAGCCACCGCACTGCGGACGCTCCGGCCCCGCGAGCATTCGCTCCCAGTGCGATGCTGATGTGGGAACTATCTAACCATCGGTGATTTTTCACTACCACAACCCCATATTTGATCGGTTCCTTTACAATTATCTCGGTTGTATTTTAACACGAGCGACCATTAATTAAACATTTTACGAGAAAACAAAACAATGCCATCAAAGATTACGTTTGATCAATTTCTTCCGCTTCTTCTCTCCTTTTTTGCGATATACATTTTGTTGCAACTTTGCCTTACCATTTCTCTTGGAATATTGAAACAGTATTCGTTGCAACAATTATGCAATTACAAGAACTCCCGTAATTTGTGTGTTCAACTGTGTACATAACCTAGATATAGTCAATTAGTTCGTTTTAATAACATGGTTGGGTATAAACGAAGCGTGAGTACACTGCGACATCGCTTCGAACACTTGGTGTGTTCAGTAATTTGAAGTATCAGATCTGAGGCCAAGGTATCATTAGGACACATGCTCACTTTGTGTTTGCTCAGGAGTCGTGAACGGCCGATTTCAAATGCACTGAAGCGTCGCGCTCGTATCCTATATAATTTTACGCCGTTTGAATCTTCTTTTTATTGAAGGTTGTCTGTCTTTGATATTTGGTACTGTCAATTTTAAATCTTGGTAATCCTTCTATTGTTCTTATAATATATATGTAATTAAAAGGTTCGAAATTTCTAATTAATAATTACTGTAAAGACAAATAAAACAAGTAAAGGCATTTCCCTGGTGTTTAATTTTTTTTAAACTATTATTTTGTTTTATTTCAGTTTGTTGTTTGTTAAACATTCATTTGCTTAACACGCTTATTAGAATTTTGGAAAGTTACCTAAGTGTAGACCTAATTGAGAAAATAAAGTGTTGGCAGACACATTTTTAGGGTTATATAGTCCTGACAAGGAACCCTTATAGTTTCATCATGTCCGTCTGTCCTTCCCTGGTTTTGCTTGGAGACTATTAGCACTAGAGAGCTGTAATTTAGTTATATAAGATATATAAATCAATCACGCCGTCAAAGTGGTAATTAATTAGAAAAATATATTTTTTAGGGTACCCCCTCTTTTGTACATCATCTACCCCATAGACTCCTGCTCAAATATATTGTGGAGTTACAACACACGCAACTACGCAAACCAACCCTGCGCGTGGCACGACACACACTTGGCCGGTTTTGAATCATGCAGACACGCTTAGGTTTATAATGGTTCTTAATTTTATTATATATTTGAAGTACTTAGGTTTTTTAGTAACAGCAAATCGAGCTCTTAATGTATATTTCATTTAATTTTTTTTATAGAGATTGGGTTAGATCGGTGTTAATTTCATGCTATGCGTTTTCTAGCGGTTGCATATGGCCTAAGTGTTGTGTCAATCAATTTTCGCCTGTGGTGATTTTGTAACGTCATGTGCTGCGTTCCCACGGAAGCCTTGCGATCCGCCGAGGGCCGTCATGTCCCGACGCTTACGTATTTAACATAGTCACAACTTTAGCTCAAAAGTTATTATCTAACCTAAACAATTTCCAAGCTGACTGCATGGAAATGGGCACGCATAAATCGTTATGCATGCTGCATGGCCAAGTTTGATTATTAAATTGTTGGTTGAAGGATAGGCAGTGATGGATAAATTACTTTGTGACTTCTTCCTATGAGTTTTGTTTGAAATGATAAAAATTACCATTATAAAATTTAAAAATATTTACGGTTATAACAATATCAAGTTACTTTTCAAGTAGCTGACGATTAACTCTGGTAACCTTTTCTACATATTGAGAAACTCAAAATGTTTCAAAACAACTTGATGCAGTCGTCGCAGCCTTGTGCTTTCTATAACTTGTCATTACACCAATTTGCTTGTTATGACAATCTAGGTTTACGTACAAAATAAGGTATTGTCCACAAAACAGCCGAAATCATTAGGCGAGTAATTTCATATTAAACCGGTCATTTTATTTCGATATTACTTAAATTTGGTTGGTAGCTAATGATACCTACTCAGGAAGATTGTCTGCGGATCGCCGGTGCGGTTAATGGGCCTATATTTAAGCTTTGGTACTATAATCAAAATTGAATTACCCGAGTTGACATTCTTAGTCTAAAATGATGCTTTTTCTTTTTGTGCTCCAATTCACGTAGGTCAATTTGAATTTTTTATTGCTCTCGCTGACGTTGATATGTTTTTTTAAACTATAAGGCACTGTAGTACAACGGTATTGATATTTTAATGACATAGAAGGCTTAAGTGATACATTACATTTTGCCTTCGTGTGATACCTGCAATGGTCCTTGTATGCAATTGAAAAGGTATAGGTAATATTATTATTTTCTAAAACTGTTTGGTGACAAAAATAAATTCAAGTTATATATTTGTCATGTTAAATGTTTAAGATTAAAGAGAGTAAAGAGATTTTTTCTCAAGTCGGAGCGGTTGTCTGTGGAAAAAGTCCTATTTCTGTAAGTATATTTTTTAGGAAAATTAAGGTGGCATGCAAGCTGTAGCAACACCAAATATGTGTTACCTACCGCCCCATCATCTACGCCCTGAAGCTCAAAACCCTAACCTTACCAACAGAAACGCCTTTTATCATAGTTTCATAGTATGAGCTCTGCTTGATTTGGGACTGAAACTAAATAATTTCCGTGGGTGTGGGTTATTTTGTTGAAAGTTTGCATCTGCTTCATTGGCTACGGAATTACGAACCGAGCTGGTAATATGGCCGTTTAGTTACTGTTGTACCTGATTTCTTCATAACTGGGGTACATACACACTTATACAAAGCGAGATAAGGAATTTTCTGAAATTGCTATAATTCCCATGTTAAAAATATTTAACAAGCCTAACTTCATTCATATGATATAATAAATATACGTAGTATTTATATAATATTATTATGATAAATAGATATAGTGTACCAAAAAAAATACTATAGTGAAATATCAAAATTAACTTGAAGTTCATTGCTTGGCAGATGAGCTGGAGTGGGAGTGAAATGAAAATATGTATATAGATATGATATGAGCTTTTGAATATGTATCTACCTACAGAATATATGTATGTTCTATGACAAGATACATTATAAATTTAGACTACATTCCTTACTTACTTACAGATTTGTCACATATCAAATAACATCGAAGCGAGTGAAAACTTGCCATTATATAACGAAATAAGTAATAAAAAATTGTAAAATCACTTGTGCAACTTGATGCTTTGAGAAAGTGTGTAAGCAGCAGTTTCCCGTTGAATGAACTGTCACATAATTGATAAATTTGAAATTGAATATGTCATCATATATGCAAGTTGCGAAACAAGACGAGAGCGAGAAAGCCAAATTTTTTTTTTTTTTTTTTTTTTTTTATTTATTTATTCAAAATACATTATTATAACAGGCTAACTATAAATTCTTATAAAATTACATTAATTATTAACAATATTATTTCAATGTTGTAAATTATATATAAATGTCAATAAAAATAAATAAAAGAAAAAACAATGTCAATTTAAGCAAATGTCAATTAAAAATCTATAAAAATAAAAAAAATAACTTCAATTTAGGATGCATTACAAATATTGTCCATAAAATCTAAAATTCATAATACATTTCTCAAAATAAATAAAAATATATTCCAGTAAAAAAGTCAATAATGTTATTTATAGCACAACACTTTTAAAGTTACTTTCGTAAACTCGCCAATCGAACAGGTGAACAAATCGATAGACTCGGCAACTACATTGAGCGTGTGTATTGTTCGCGTCAGAGGTGCGGTGG